CGTGAGGGCTGTGATGGGCTGTGAGGGGCTGTGAGGGGCTGTGAGGGGTGTGAGGGCTGTGAGGGGCTGTGAGGGGCTGTGAGGGGTGTGAGGGCTTTGAAGGGCTGTGAGGGCTCTGAGGGATATGAGGGGCTGTGAGGGCTCTGAGGGATATGAGGGGCTGTGAGGGCTATGAGTGTGTGTGGTTGTGTGAATGTGTGTGTCTGGGATGTCCAGTTGAGTGTGTGTGTGAGAAAGAGTGTATATGTGTGGATGTATCTTGGGTATCTGGTTGAGTGTGTGTGAATATGAATGTGTGTGTCTGTGCCTGTGTCTGTGTGTGTCTGAGATGTACCAGTTGAGTGTGTGTGTGTGTTGTCTGGCTGAGTGTGTGGGCACACATATGTGCATGAGTGTGTGTCTGGGGTGTCTGGTTGAATGTGTGTGTGCGTGGTGTGTGTGTCTGGTTGGGTTTGTTTGTGTGTCTGAAGTGTCCAGTTGAGTATGTGTGCACGTGTCTGGGATGTCTGGTTATATGTGTGTCTGGTTGTATGTGTGTGTGTGTGCATGCACGTATGCGTGTGTCTGTGTGTCTGAGATATCTGAGTGTATGTGTCTGGTTGAGTGTGTGTGTGTGTGTCTGGTTGAGTGTGTGTGTGTGTGTGTCCGGTTGGGTGTGTCTGTGTGTTGAGTGTGTGTGCATGTGTCTCGTTGAGTGTGTGCATGCACGTCTGTGTGTGCCTGTGTGTTGAGGTTCCCCTCTGTAACTGCTGTGGGTCCAGGTCTTGGGGCACAATGTCTGACCACGAAGGAGTGGAGGGCCCAGTTCACTTCAGGCACACACAGGGCTGGACCACCAAGAGCAGGACCCGCCCCACAGCAGGGGCCTTCCTGCTCAGAGCAGGGGCCCTGGGCCACAGCGGGGACACGGGGAGGGCCTGCAGCCCTGCCGGGTGACCCCTCACCTCCTGGTTGTTCTCTTCCAGGCACTGGTCGTACTCGCTCAGCGAGGCCAGGTAGATGAGCGCAATCACGTTCTCAAAGCAGTGGATCCATTTCTTGCGCTCCGACTTCTGGCCCCCAACGTCCACGATCCTACAGGACACCCCTTTTCAGCACCAGGGTCAAATCAGCACCCCAGACCCCAGTCAGGCCCAGACACCCCCACATCAACAATAATAACAGCAAGCACATGTGACTCTTCACACATATCTTGTGGATCACCGCCTGGCACCCTCATGAGGCAGATATGAATGTTACCCCATTTTACAGATGAGGAAACCGAGGCTTATCAGGGAGGAGAGAGACTTTGTCCAAGCTTCCACTGCCCTGAGCTGCCTGCTTTCTCCCCGTCCCCCAGCAGAGGGCAGCAGTTAGACAGAGCTGGTGTGGCTCCTAGGAGCGTGACTCGAGAAACAGGGCCTCACATCTACAGAGCTCAGTTTAGCCCTCGGTAAAATGGGTATGAGAGTGTCCACTCGGTGGCACAGATGGCAGCGAGGGCTACAGTGAGAGCAGACATCCTCCGCTCTGTGTGTGGCCCGGGCCAGGGCCCAGCCTCCACCCGACAAGCCACAACAAAAGCCTGGGCCCTCCTCCCTTCCTGTTCTGTCTTCTGAGAAATGTGGGTCACTGATAGCAGGCTGCGTCATTTCCCCGGGGATGCAACCGTTACTCAGGCGGCCTGACGGGAAATGCCAGAACTGGGTCTCGGGATGAGGCCTGAAACCTCAGAGCAAGAAGGGACTTGCCCATTTTACAGGAGGGGAAACCGAGCCCAGGGATCCAGTGGCTGGGCTGCATCTGGGGCCTGAGCCTCCTGGTTCCCAAGACCAGCCCCTCTCACTTGTCTTCAGACTCCCTCAAACCCCATACCTAAAGAGGGGTCCATGGAGTGTAGGGGTGGAGATTGGGGCTCTGGGGTGGACAGGCGTGAGTTGTGAAGCTGAGGTCAGTTACCTGCTGGTCAACGGACTTTGGGTTGGTTACCTCCCCTCTGAGGCTCAGTTTCCTCTGAGATGTCACTCTAGTCACTGGACTCTGTCCTCAACCCAAAAATATACTCAACTCTCCCAAGCCTACAATACCCCCTCAGCCCAGCTTTCCCTGTGAGCTTCCCCGCTCCTAACTGTTCTATCCACTCATCCATCCATCACCCACCTGCCCATCCATCCTTCCTTCCATCCACTCATCCAC